AGAGGTGAATAAAATTATAAAAAATAAAAATAAAAACGAACAGTTATTTTATATATATCAAATATGAGAAAATTGCAAATTTAGTCCCACAATTGCAATTTTAGTCCTTAGAGTTAACGGTGACTTAACGGTCAGTTAGATTTGGGACCAATTGCGCAACAAAAATTAGGTAAGGACTGAAATTACGTCTCTTGGGACTAAAATTGTGAACGTCCCAATCTAACGGAACCAAATTTACAATTAACTCAATAAAATATATATATTTTTTTGTATGCATTATATAATAAGTCTAGTGGCCATGTGTGGTTTTGTAATATTGATTCGCTCCATAAATGGTTGATCACCCCTTATAAATGCCAGGGTCCCACAATTTTTGTACTCATATATGGATGACTGCATTGATATCAATGCAGATGCCCTTATCATTCATTTACAAAGCATCATTTTTCTCATCCACATCATGTCTTATATTCACCACGTGTAGTATCGGACTTACTTATATTCACTTTTGTATTAATTTTCTTCTCACTATTCAACTTATAAAATGTATTTTATAAGCTAATGATATGAAGATGTTAGAGAAGGGCAAAATCAGAAAATTAGTTGAGAGGGGACAAAAGATATGACATAATGGGTTCAGAATCGATACCAAATCGATAACATTTCGACAACCAATTTTCGGTTACCGTTACACATAAGTCGATTCGGTTCATTTTATTTTCTCATCGGTTCGGTTCGATTTTCGATTTTCGGTCAAAAAATATCAGGCTAGTAAAAGAGAGTTGAAGTCTTTTATATGGGCCAATTAAAATTGTAAAATGATAATAATTAATATACAAAATTAATAGTAAAATAAAAAAAAAAATGTTGAATTGTTAATTGATTATTGTGGACAAGTTGGTTGGTCAGTGGCGTTTAAAAACAAAGTTCACGTTTGTTTATAGAAATTTTTATTTTGTTTGGATTTTTTGGTTTGGTTAATTGAAAAGAGTGGTATGTTTAGTTGTTAGTGGATATTAAAATAATATTTTAAATAAAATAATTAAAATTGATTTGATGTAAAAGTAAGAGAGATGATGTGACGTAATGGTTAGTTAAAATAATGTAAGTGGATGAATAGTGAATTAAGGTTGATTTGGTGTATATGAATGATTGATTGATATTATTTAGTTATATTGATAATATTGATTATAGTGGAGTTGAGTTAAAGTTGAGTTAAAAAAAGTGGTTGAGTTAAAATGATAGAAATTTTTTAAAAATTTTCATAAACAAACTTGCTCAAAAAATCTGGGGGTGCAAAAATAAATTTAAAGGGGGGACAAATTAAAATTTTTAATATTAATAATAAAAAAAATTAAAATTTGTGGGGGTCCCATGATGTCAGATCTCAGAATACATTTATTTAAAGTTGTTACTATTCATTGTCCCTATTACTACTTATGGCCTCCAAAAGACGATTTTGCCCTTATGTATATATATAAATATATATATATATATATATATATATATGATTTGGTTCAAATGAGAACTAAGTCCTAGCGTGAGAACCGTAAGAACCGCTATTTTTAATTGTATGTAGTGCTATCATTAATTGTATTTTAGTGCTATTTTTAATCAGAATGTATTTTATTAAAATAGCAACACAATTTATGTTAGCATTTGTAAAAATGATAGCACCATGTGAAATTAAAAATAGCATCATATACAATTAAAAATAGCACGAAATATGGTTCTCACAGTTCTTACACCAAAACTAGTTTTTATTTGAACATATATACATATATTTTCTCTGTACCGGCCAGCCACCGATGCCAACCGGATTTGGGGTAGCCGGCTGCCGTGACAAAAGATAAGGAGGAAATATATATCTTTGATTTTTATATTTGATAGTATATTATTGTTATTTGATCTTTTTTTCTTAATAGGTTTTCTACTTCGAAAGGAAGAGACAAAGAGCAAATATATATCTTTTTTACCAAAAAACAAAAGAGAAAAAGAGATTTGGGAGAGAGGGGCGTGAGTTTTCAACCAAGGAGCAGCAATTATATATATATATATATATATATATATATATATATATATATTTTAGCATTAGCGTGGAATAAAAATAGAATAAGGATAGCAGCATTCTTTTTCCTGGTATGAAGAACAAACCAGCATCGTGAAGCACCAAGGCTAGTAGCATGCAGCGTGCGGCAATTTTCTTTTGGAGAGAATAACACGACAAGTAAGAGGAGTTTTGACAATAAGGTCTTCTGAGCTTGTGTTCTTTATTACCATCAGAGGCGTAGCTAGGATTCAAAACTACCCGGGGCTAGTTTAGGTAATGACGAGCATTGAAGGACGTCATTTTTACTCCTATTTATTTTAATTTATTTTTTGAAAATTGTTAATTAATATTGAATATTATTGTACTGTGTCCATCTTACAAAAGTATAAATTTAAGGATCCAAAGAGATAGAACAATTTTTTTTTAATAACATTTTCATATGTTACGTGTATTATTATTTAAATGTATATTTATAAACAAAAGAGGAGAACAAGACTTAAATTTTACCTTTGAATAGTATTTTTTTGTTTTCATAAACTAGGTAAAAAGACAAAACATATCTTTGTGGTGCAAACAAAATATATTGTTTAATCATTCATATAAATTTTTAATATATTATATTACATTATTTTACAATAAAGCAACCATTAAACAAAAAAAAAATATTAAGATTATTTTATTTCATATTATACCATCAACTTTCATTGTTCAGGAAATTTTCAAAACAAAATACTATCAATTGCTCTCAAATATAGAACATTCAATTCTACCTTCACCTCCACAGAGGTTTTAACTATCGAATTATAATTTACAAATACTAAAATACACACATGTACTGGGTGCTTAAATTCGACATTGCCCACATGGTAGGTGAAATTCACCCACAAATATCCACATTACCACAACTCAAAATCTATTCACTTTCTTGTAATTGTCTTTAGTGAAAATTAATTTAAAATATATTAATGCAGAAGTTAAATTTTAATATAGATTGAACTAATTTAAAAATTCCTTAATTAATATATAATTGTAGTGCTCCTGATTTTTTTAGCCTGGACTATAGCCCTAGTGGGCCTATATGTGGCTACGCCCTTGATTACCACTCTCATATCATATTTGAAATTTTTGTGTTCTTTGCTTTTTCAATAGTTTAATTTGATATAGTGCATCTAAAAAGTCGAAAAGTGTGTGTTTATATGTTGAATAGCGTATTTTTATACGCTTAATATATTTGCACGTTTATTTTTTAACTTATTTATTACTTAGATAAATTCATTTGATATGATTATTTTATATTTGTTTTCAGCGCATTAATGTTTCGTGGACGTGAAATCGTTGACGAAAGTTTAGATGAGCAATAATCGAGGCGCCCCATTACATGAATATTTGGGGTCCATGATGGAGTTGATTATAAGAAGTCAAAGAAGACATTAATTTTTTAACCTACTTTCATTATTAATAGTTGTTGGGCTAATTAATGTTTAGTAGTGTAATTGGCCCAAAGGTTATGAAAGTGACGTTTTGGGCTTGGAGGAAAATGGGCTAATTTATTTTACTTGAGGAGGACTCCACTAATGCAATGACGGAGGGATTTATTTTGCTGGAGAATTTTATTTGCGAGAGGAAACAAGAGAAGAGCCGCATGGAATGAATTGGACAGACAAAAAGACACGCAGAGAAGAGGAGAGAACAGGGAGAAGGCTACGGGGGTTGTCGCATCCAGTTTTATTCTCTATATTATTTATTATTTATTTTTATTAGTATGCAAGACTAGTTCTTTTTTTATCCAGTTTGAGAGGATATTTGAACTCTAATTTCGATTTGTTTATGGATCGAATGATTTTTATTCATCGTTAATTAATTGAGACGTAGTATTTATTTTGTTTGTAGGTTGATTCATGTTATTTGTGTGAAATCTGGATTTTGTAGTACATAAAATTCTAACAGAACCATTTCTAAATTCATTAAAAGTCAAAGCAGAAGAAAAACCGCAGCCAGCCCGAAAATGAAAAGCAAATTAACCGCTAATTTTGCCCTGTAATTTAGGCGCAACCCATGTCTGCCCAAAATTACACCTCCATGTGAGAGCATAGAATTACCAGTTACTACAGTTAAATACTTCTCATAGTGATATCAATCTCATGAAAAAATAAAAAAGAAGAAGTTATGAAATCAGTTAATTTCATCATATCTTCATAATATCATCAAGAGCAGTAAATTTTAATTCACTTTTGTTCAATCAATAAACCATAGAAAAACAACGGCTAAAATTACAAATCAATCAGACCATTTACCATTTCACGGTTAGGCTGTTCATATTAAATCTTTTACCTCATTTTTTATGTCATTCTAAAATTATAATACAACCAATGACCTCATTTTAATGTCCGTACTAAAAGTCTAAAACAGCATATGGAGAATCACATAATGCCGAAAAAATTAGCTGCACATTATTAGAACAACAGCTCAAGACTCTACTCGACAAGCCAAATAACAAAAGCCCACAAACACTTAAACATGTCAGTCAATCAAAACAAAATAAATTGCACATCTTCACATCAACCGTACAAGAGGCTAAACGNNTTAAATAAAGATTGTATAAAAAAAGAATCGTGTTATTCGATTTGCTCGATAAATTAGGAACAAATACATTAAGTCGTTAATCGTATACTCTACCCACATTCCCTCTTCTTCTTACATGTGTACAATACAAACAAAATACAAACAAGCCAAACTATTCTTCAATGGAAAGGGTTGAAGAAAAGAAACTTGGCTTGAAGGCATTTGTTCAAACATGTACAAAACAACACACACACTTGTCAGAATATCAGCACCTACAACAAGTTCTGATAAAGCATATCAGAGACTCATCCAAATAAACAATCGAAACAATCTCTCTACGACTTACAACAACAAATTCTTTTTACACAAAAGAAAAAGAGCCCAAACTTCAATTACCCATTTCCATCTCAAGAAATAAATTCCGCTTGGGCCAATGACTGTCATCGCTCGAAGCAAAGAGCTTAACCGAAATATCGACCAATTTCTTGGCGGATAATTTACGCCGAGGGACCCTCAATTGCTTTGGTGCGTTCGGGGCTTCGGCCTCATCGAAATTACCAAATTGCCACTCGTCTTGAAAGCCCACCGTCTTTCTTGGTGTGCTGTAGGCAAAATGATGCTGCTTGGCAATCAAAGTCTTTTTTTTTTTTTTTTTTTGNTTTTTTTTTTTTTTTTACAAAGCAGCAATTTAATAGTAAATTAGTAAAATTGGGATTCATTAAAGGATTAAATTAAGAAAAATCATTATTCTCAGGGGAGATAAGAGCTTACAGCTTCTCTAATTGCTTTGGAAACGAAAAACAGCCTTTTCAAATCATCATGCTCAACACCACAAAGTATCTTGATCTGCAAAAGAGAGATTCTTGTTATAGCAAACTAACTCATATGTAGAAATCACCAAACAGTACTAAAACAAAATCCAAGAAGAGAAAAAAAAGGGCAAGAAAATGTAAGCTCACCAGAATTTCTTGAGGCAAATCCTCAAGCACGGATTTCGACTCGATAGAAACCGAATCTTGATCGAAACAACGTCGTTTCGAAGGAGTTGTGGCTGCTAAATCTTCACTCTGAAAATCTGAGCTGATAACATTAGAAAGAAAAACTCTTTTTCTCCCAAACGATGTGCTTCTCACAAGCCCCATTCCATACCCTCCATTTGCCCTCGACCTACATTTCTTCCCAATCGCCATAATTTTACAAATTTGGACTCAAATATCTGATTTTTAAAAAGAAAGGCCTAAATTGATTCAAAAATTTGAAGAACCCTAAACCAAATGAATTCCCAATTTGACCCAAGAGAGTGCCAAAATAACCCTAATCGAAAAAATGTAACGCCTGTGCTGAAGAAGGAAACAAGAGACCCGTCTTGATAACTATCTTCCTAAATATACTAATCACGAGCGTGACTAAAATGGAATAATGCCGCCGCACAAATGAAAGTCAAAGATTTCGTTTCCAAACAAAATCAAAAGAACACTTTAAAATAAAATTGATTCTTTTTTCTTCTTCCCCTTTCTGGGTTTCACCTTCACAATAATAAAAAAAAGGGTTTTTTTTTTCCTCAGAGAAATCAAGATCTGGTTCTGACTCGATTTTTTTTTTTTTCGGTGAGTGAAAAATTCTTGAAGAAGGGTAATAAAAGAAGACGGAAAAACTAGCCGTTGAGGTCGGGGCACGTGTCGGTGGCGGAGGGTTTTTGGGTGGGAAGGTACTTGGACGGTTAGGATGACGTGGCAGATAGTTGGTCGGTCGGCTCTTTCAAAGACGTGTTCCTTTTGTTGACGTGTTTTTGGGTATACGCTAATTTCACCCGCGTGCGGGCTGGTTAGTGTTTGAACGTCTGACACGTGTCGAAGTGAGTTGATTTTGATGCTCGATATTTGATTAGGTAACTGTATGATTCTAAATCTAAATTATGGGCGGCTGAGCCGCTGTATGGTAATGTATAGTATTTAACTTATTTTTTTATATATTAAGAAAATAATTTAATCTCTTCTTTTACTATTTTTGAAAAAGCAATTTGGTAATGTATTTATTATATTATATGATAGATAGTATGTGTTTAACCGCAAGTCGTGCCAGTTACTACCACACCCTTGGGGCCCACCTCACACGTTATGGTGACAGAAATTACGTAAATTTATTTTACTTAAAATGTTTTTTTTTTTTTTTTACTTTTTCGACCTCGTTGGCATAGGATTCGCTTTGGACTAAAATGAGGAGAATTTAGAACCTACAAACGCATCATTGGAATGCCATGATCACGCCAGCCAATTGCCATTGCTTGGACCAAAATCCATATTGGTTTTGACCATTGAATAATATTTTTCAATGATAATTATAAAAATTGTTAAATAAAACGAACAACGCATAACTTTATTCAACTCGTTAATGTTTAAATTTGAATTTATCTAATGAACGAGCGAAGCTGAACTTTACTTGGTAAGGTTTAAAAGTATGTATTTTATGCAATTTTCTATAATGTGACACTAAGATCCTAGGAGTTATGCAGTGTTAGTGACTTAAGCTGTGTTTGGTAGATAAATAAGTTAGCTTATAGCTTATTTGGTTAGCTTATAAGCTCCCTATATTCAAATAAGCCTCGTTTGGTAGGACGAGCTTTTTTAAAAAGCTTAAGCTTATTTGAAAAGCTTATTTAGGTAGCATTTCAAATAAGCTAGTTGAATTTTTTTATTCCAGCTAGCTTATCACTAATTTTACCAAACACTTTTATCATACAAGCTAGCTTGAAAAGCTATAAATCATAAGTTATAAGCTATAAGCTCAAAAATTACTGATAAGCTATAAACTAGGTTATAGAATAAAGAACTGGTGCTCGTGCAAGCAACGTTGATATCTTTTATTTCAATTGCAAATTGGAATATAGAATAAAAGACCCCTATTGGTCTTGAAAATTGTTAGACCGAGGCAATAGACGATGTTGAGTGCAAGGGCGAATGAAATCCATATTTTCCTTTGTTACGAACTATATTTTCTTTTTTAACAATCTTGAAGTTCGATCTCGATTCATTAATATTCATAAACAAGCATAATTCGAACTCGTTTTGTTAACTAGTTGTTGGGTTGATAAAGACTGAGCTCAAGCTCGAGTGTAAAGAGCTCGATCTCTGTTAAACTCATTTACACCTCTAAATACAGTTCAATAATGGGCATAGTTAGAGTAACTTTGTAAATTATATATTAATAATGAGCATAGTTAGAGTAACTCTTTGTAAATTAAATCTTAATCAGTTGTAATATCATATTTGTTCAATCATACACGTTTTTTAGTTCTCGAATCTTTGCAATTATGGACTCTTTCATTAAAGAAATAATATGGATGAATATGTTTGTCATTAACTCGAGACCTTCATGGTTGGATCATTGGTACATTGAATTCAGTTCACCTTATAATAACAATAAATTATATTATCTCAACAGATTCTAGAGGATATGTTTTACTATTGAAATATAATGTATGTATACACTATACTCAATTATTTCCAAAGGAAAAAGATTCTTCTATCTATTAAGGGAATCCTATGCGACGACTAATTATTACGCAAGCAAATACAAAACTTTCAATGAAACACACATTAAAAAGTACTTATTTATTCGCCCAACTGTCTAAAACCGTAAATGGTTTTTTGACAGCCCATTATTTTGACGGGTTATACGCGCAATTTCATCAATTTTGGATTTTTGCAGCCCATCAAATTTTCTGTGTCTTAATTGGAATTGTTTTTTAGGTAAAAGTCTTGATTACTTTTGGCGTAAATCACACCGAAATATTTTTTTATTAATTTCTTCACATGATAACAGAATAAAATCAATAGGATGACATATGCGTCGGCAAGTCAAAGATTACGTCAAAATGGGCCGAGGAAATCTAAACGTTTTTTACGGGCTTAAAACTGGTTCCTTCAGGCCCAATTAGGGTGAAGTATGAACAAAGTTTTGCGGGATAAATCCTTGTCAAATTTTGTACTCATAATCTTGAAATCGTGGACAAATTCCCGGCACATTCATTCAAATCAAAACAAGAAATTTAAAAACAATCAAAACTATATGAATGCACACAAGCATCAGTAAATTAATAAATTTCTAAAATATCATTACCTCAAAAAAATAATGTTGTAATTTTGTGGACCTTAATAAGGCCACAAAACTCATAACCACATATCCTTACAATATGAGGAAATTGTGAAATCCCTAGGTAGGAAATGGTAATGAGTTCAAATTACATCAAGAAAAATACTAGCAATGGTTATAATGTTGTGGCCCAAATTTTTCCATGGTATTATAGCACTCTAAGACTAGGAGCCTTCAACGCGATTGAATGCACGTTCGCGCAATTACTCACGACCAATTTTCCAAACTCTTTCAGCAACGAAACGTAGTTTGGTGATAAGACGTTTTACCTATAGGTGAAACTAAGAGAACTAAAAAATGGTTCAAGACTTATGTACAAGACTTATCTTAACACTACTTATGTCAAACCAAAGATATCTTAACAAAATAACTAAAGTCTATCTTAACATTACTTATGTACAAGACTTACAATTTCTTGAAATTTCAATGGTTCACATCAGAACAAAGAGAGAGAAAAATTAATGTTCACAAACTACAAACAACAAATTTCCTCCATTTGAGAAAAAAGAATACAATTTGTCGAAAAACTTAACTAAAAACTCAGTAAACATCCTTCAAATGCACTGGATCTAAAATACTCATATCTTTACGATAATCATAAATAGCTATTTTTGCACCGGACATTATTCCCCAGTTAAGACAATCTGAATTAAAATTCCTCGAAAACTCAAAGTTTCTGGCTTTCACAAGAACTAAGTACTGCAGATTTATGCCGCGTTTTAGAAAGAATTTCACCATCATCAACTTGACACATTTTAGGAGTGGAAATACTGTATCACATTCGATCAAATAGTCCCTCCCGTGCATGTCCCAATAGATACTCTGTCCAAATGCATTCAGGCCAAACTGCAAGTAGCGAAAAATAATAAACACGTAAAATAAAAGGGCCAATCATCGAAAAAAAAAATACTAGTATCCGCAAGAAAATGAGATTTGAAAAAAAAAAAAAAATCGTAAAGCTTTACCTCGATGAAAATTCGTTCCACATATGGACACTTCTTGAGGAAACTAGCAACATCAGATGGGTTAAGGTAACTTTCTGGTGTCACAATCAAGTGGAATCCCTTTAACTGCCAAAGGTGAAAGTTAATTTCCTTGTATTCGTTTCCATCGAACTTGGGACCTAACAAACCTTGCATACAATTTTACCCAAATGTTGTAATTAGTACTATACTTTGGATGATCATGTGTTTGGTAAGTATATAAGCTAGCTTATAACTCATTTGATTAGCTTATAAGCTTTATGTATTCAAATACGTTTGGTTTGGTAGGACGATTTTTTTTTTTAAAAAGCTCGAATTTATCTCATAAGTTTCCTTGAGTAACTTTTCAAATAAGTTTATTGAAATTTTTATTTTAGCTGATTTTACCAAACACATTTATCATATAAGATAGTTTTTCACCCATAAGCCATAAGCTATCAACTAGAAGCTCAAAATTCACGGTAAATTGAAGCAAAAAAAAAAAAAATAAAATTACCTCAAGAAAAATGCTAGTAACTGTAAGACACCTTAAAAGGGCGAGACGAACCAACGCGTCTTTCATTAGGCGGACGTGTTGAAACCCTCTCGGATGTGAGAAGTCAAATCATTCAATTGCGAAAGTTCACTCTCGATTTTGAACTTGCAAATTTTGCCATGATAATATAAGGAACAAAGAGTAGGGGCATCCAGAGTAATATACTCGACATCAAAACAATATTTCACAACCAAATGATTAAAACTCTGTGAATTTCGAGCCAATATCTGGAGATTAAAAGTTAAGTTACAATGTATAAATCGAACGGCCCTCAAAGCCAAACAATTTGTAAACATTGATTGGATGACTATTGGCCGAGCTCTCACATTTTGAAGAGTTAACTCACGTAAATTGCACAAACCATTTAAGCCAAGCGAGGAATTATCGAGTTCGCAACAAACGAGTTTCGTGATTTTTATGCTTGATACGTTTATTAAATCACAGCTGAGCATAAAGTTTCTTCTCGATTGAGTAAAATCGAGTTCGAGTTCTTTTATTCTTAAACCAACAGCCTTTCGAATCCAGTCAACAATGAGGCTTGTATCGTTAGTCGGATCAAAGTACAAACAGAATCTCTCGGCATTGGAATTTAAATGGTTTTCAAAAAATTTATTGACGATGCTTTTGAACTCGTTTTTCGATAAATTTCTAGTGAAATTTCGGTCGAATGCGAGATCGCGGCAGAATTTCAACGAATATCTATAACGCGCAGATAAAATGGCGAGGCCGAAAAGGTTTTTGATTGGGAGATATGACAAAACAGTCTCTATAACATCATCAGCCATTGCTAGAAGATGGTATGAATTAATTCATAAGACCACAAATTATGTTTTTGACTAACTTGAGATGTCTAGTGAGTTTATATAGAATTTTTTTATTTTTTTTTGGAATCATTTTTCTTATGTAAGTTTTTGCCTAAAATGGCAATGGTGAACCAGGAATATTATTTCCTGGATTTTTATCTCTTTGATTCATGCTATGTCCATTAAGTAAATTTGGATTTCTTGTATATTTTGTCTGAAATAGGTTAATACATCTTTCCAAGAAACAAATTAGAGCAATAAGGTTTAAGAAATTTTTTTCAATATTTTTATTAGGTTAATTTTCTGCATCAGCTAAAACAGGATACTATAGGATTGCCAAAATATTATGGAAACAGCCTTGGATTTTTAAAATTTGAAACTGCAAAATAGAATGTAAGTAAATAAAATTTTAATATAAAAATATTTAAGTACTCTGGAAACCATAAGGGGATGCTTGGATACAAATTTATCCAAAAAAATCTAATCATTTTTAACCAATCACTCCTTTTAACTTAAATCTATCTCAACTTTGACTCAACCCAACTATCCTCAATATTATCAATATAATTAAATAATATCACTCAATCATTCTTACACATTACATCATCCTTAATTCTTTATTCATCTACTCACATAATTTTAACTAACCACCTCATATCATCTGTCTTCTAGTTTACATCAAATCAATTGCAATTATTTTATTTTAAATATTATTTTAATATAAATTCAAAATTCCACTAACAACTAACCATACCACCTTTTTCCAAATCAAAATTTTTGTATCTTGGATATAGATTATTTTTTGTTTTGTCTCTTCGGTTAAAGTTTTTTCTTCGTGGAACTATGACTAGATATAATTTTTTTTTCAAACGAATTACTATATATTTATTTCTACTTTTTTCCGCCTTCATCTTATGATCATAATTGAAAAACAAAAATATTACCACACATTTTCAATAAAATTCACTACTCAATCGGTTCATATATTTATAATTATCAATCATTTACAATCATTATTTTGTTATCTCTATCTCATGTCAATCTCAAATTATTCTTCAATCCAAAAGAATTTTCTATTTTTTTCATCAATGTTTACATTGAGATATTTTTTTCCAAAACAACATATTTTCAATTGTATCCTTATAATGTTTACTGTCTTTTACATAATGCAAGATAGTGGGAATTAAGGCTAATGGCATCATAGGCATCTTAGAATGAAATTTGATAGAAATGAAATAAGTTCAATAATATAATGATTATAGGAAATGAATGAGAGAATTTTCTCTTTCATATGATTGATATGCTAAATGAATGAGATTGAAAGGTAATATTATCATTTGTTTTCCACCACCGTTGTAGTGAATTCATTTAATTATTTATGATACTTTATTTATAACTTTTTATTTTATTGTAAAATGTTTCATGTAACTAATCAACTAAGTTAATCACTCTTTCATAGTTATGTTTGGTAAAACTAGCTGATAGATGATAAGCTAGTTTATAGCTAATCAGTAATTTTTGAGCTTATAACTTATAACTTATAGCTAAAAACTAGGTTATATGACAAAAGTGTTTGGTAAAATTAGCTCATAGGCTAGCTGAAATAAAAATTTCATCGAGCTTAATTGAAAAACTATCCAAAGAAGCTTATCAAAAAAGCTTGAGCTTTTAAAAAATCCTACCAAGCGGAGCTTGTTTGAAAACAGAGAGCTTATAAGCTAACCAAATAAGCTATAAGTTAGCTTATTTATCTACCAAACATAGCTATATTAACTATTGTAAAAACTTCCATACATATATACACAAAATATTTTAAGCCTAGGTGTTTCAATCATATTCTGTTAATTTCTTATACTTGTGTGTCGATTTCTAGTATTTCATAATAGTGTAGATCTAGATTTTATTTATATATATTAAATTTTTTATAGTTATAAGACACTTAGTTAAGTTATATTATTATTATTTTAATTCTTAATTATTTTCTTTATTTTTTATCTATTTTTCATATATGATAAATCAAATTAATCATTTATTTATGATTTTCAATTCGACATTCATACTGCATAAATATAATAAAAAATAATTATGATTATATAAAAATCAAACTATTGATCGGTTCTAATTGAAAAAATAATAAATTTTTCTTGCAACTTATTTGCGTTAAAAATATATATAAGACAAGCGACAATTTTGCTATTTGAACTAAAATTAATAATGTAACTTTTTAAGAAGTATTTATATTTAAAAGAACATTTCTACTTTCATTAATTTTGTCACTCCCACCCCTTTGCGTGGGATCCCCTAGGTGTGATAGGCCTATGCCGTTAGTAGATGGACTGCAGTGGGTGGTGAAGCCGTAGAGTAAATGTGAAGATACCTTCCAGTTGACAAAAAAAAGAAATATACATTTCTCAATTAACTGTTGTACATTAAACAGGTGTTGAGTATATCATCAGATAAACCTTACATAAAATGTATATAATTAATTATTATAATTATTTTATAAAACTATACAACATATATGAATAAATAAATAAATTTTCTGCTAATTATTTCTAGATACATTACTTATAACTCTATAAAAATATTNGGGAGATTGGGAGTGAATAGAAACGTGGTTTTACAATTCTCATTCAAATTGTTATTTTCACCTTTAAATTATGTCAGTATGGGCTTGGAAAATGAATAAAGATACAACCATTTCATTCTCCTATCATTCCATCTTGTCAATTATATAGTTTATTTGGAATGAGATTCAAAATAGCATGTAGATTAAAAATATCCTTAATTTTTTTTACTATAGTAGTGTTTTCAAATTAACTTGCATCATGAAAAACAGATATTCTTGAACACTACCTCAAACATGGTGTTTCAATTAGGAAGCTCACTAGTAGCATTTCAGCTTCTAGTTTTCTCTATTCTTATTTCTTGCCACACAAGAATCTAAATTATGCACTAATAAGTCAATAAAATAGAAACATCAGTAATTTATTTATTTAATTCGAGTTTCACGTGTTCTTCTTGTTGCCTCCAGCCACATATACTTATTTCTGGTTTGTGCGATTTCTTATTAGAAAAGCGGTAAATAAACGGGGGAAGGAGCATTTTTCATTCAAAAAATATAGTCGTTGTAATGCAATTTTTTGAATCCTTAAAACTGAAACCCAGGCCACTAGCAGCACAGCCCTTATAAAACAGATAGTTTGATAATCCTACGAAAGAGCAACTAGAACTAGCAACCTAAACTCGATAAACTTAAATAAAAGGGATATAAAATTGAATTTTGTGCACTATCTGGCTCAAAGTTTTGCTGGGAAAAACTTTGTAATTTGCAACTACTTTTGATTTGTGAAGAGAGAAATATAATTTCTAAAATAAATATACATAGCGGTTATTTGATTTAAAAAAAAAAAATCTCATCACCATCCATAGTGTCAAAATTAAACACAGCCTAGCCAATTGTGATCCATTAAGCTAATTGGGAGCAATTTCTATGACATTTTCTGGTATTACAATTAATTTTTTCCTTATTATTTTCCTCTGTTTTTCCTTTTGGAACAGCTCGTAGAGATTAACGGTGCTGGACAAACAGCAATAATAGTATAGTGAAGCCTTAGAGTTGCTCAATTTTCACATGCACGAGTTATTTAAGGTTTTCTCATTTGTAATTTATGATGATTTATAGAGGGCAGTACCAAAAAAGCTTTGTGCTGAAAGTACCTTCTTCACATTCTCTCTACCTCGCCTTTCTGGTAACGGGCCTTCAACATATCCAGGAGACAACCCGAAAGGCCGATGAGGTTCAAGAGCAAGTGCTGGCCCAAATCCTGGCCCAAAATGCTGGCACTGAATACCTCATGGGCTTCAGCAGAGCCCGACGAGATTCTGGTGAGTTTTCTTTCTCAGCTGCCCCAACCCAATACAAAGGTTCTATTTACATAAAGAGTGATTAATTTTTGAGAGCCCGTCTGCCACAAAAATCAATTGACCATACCCATGTCAATTTTACCTTTGTATTGTACCAACGCCCATCATTTTAAAGTTTGAAACCAAAATTGAAGTTGATTCTGCCAAAAACTAAACCCTAAATCCGGTCAGGTGGAAGATCACACATCCAGATTCAGCGAATCTGGAGATGTTTCACTTAATTTCGGTCACAAACCCGAGTCCAAATCCAATTAGATTTGGATTTTCATTTGGGCACAATTGCAAAACATTTGTGGCAAAAAGATAAAGTGGCTGGGGCGAAAGCTCAAGCCCAATACCATCCAAGGTCGCCCACAGTCCAATTGTCTAGTACCAAGGCCCAAGGCCTAAGCCCAAGCCAAGTCTGAGCCCGAACCGGTCGGCTGGTTGGTCGAGAGCAACACAACACTTAGTGCATAACTTTATTGTTGTTGCGACCTCATCAACTCTCTTTATTATAATAAAGATAAAGAAAATTAATATCATTTAAGAGTTCAATGTGCGAAGGACTTTTGACCCTTTAAATTCCACAACTATTGTTTTACGTGCACATTTATAGCGAAAATTAATTTTGAGAAAATAAAAATAGCACAAGTATCTACTCAGAACGTAGAATCTACATAATTTAATTCAGCCCGAATTAAAGATTTATCATCAAAATTCAGTCAAAACTGGGTCAAGCTCGAGTTTTATAACCGATTCTTCCAACACAATAAGCACCATTTTCTGTTGTGAGAAATGAAAACTGGACATATGACCCTAATTGAACTTCTGATGGAACCGGCCCGCATCCAAAGAGGAGAAACTTGCACCGGT